CAAATGAAACACTGAATTCGCACCTCTCTTGTTAACAATAAGACGAAGCTATCCTTATCTGATAATAACTCGCTGGAAACTGAGGGATGCATTTTTTTTAGGTGATGAAAAGGCATTCAGTACATTCATACGAAATGGCAGCTTAAAACCTCTTTAAATAAAATTTTAAATTAGGGTAAAAAATAGATACCCTTTTCCCGAATATAATACATATAACAAATTGTTACACAATTAATTGTTTATGTGGCATATGTTTGGGAAATATTAACAGAGTCCTTGTTGTGGTTTCAAAGGTCTTACAAGAAATAAATAATGTCAAATATTTAATCAAAAATAATTCAGTTCGTGCAGTATTCAAAAATACTTAATAATTATATGAAAGAAAATCAAATAGTAAGTTGTTGCCAAATTGAGTCTGTTCGGAAGGTTAGAATATGTGTCCGAGCTATGATTGAAGCTTCTAGATTAAAACGCTTAATTTTAATTTTAAAAAAGTCTTCTGCAAAGCAAGTTGAAATATCTGCAGATCTGTTTCTGGAGCCGTTTTCAAGGTAGTTTCTATGCTACTGTATCGTGTTTTTTTTATAGTAGATCACCAAAAATAAATGATGTACTTTTTAATATATTAAAAGTAGTATTTGTTTTCAATTTGCTTGTCTTTTAGTTCTGCTCAGTCTATAATTCCAAAGAACAATTTTAATTTAGTATTTTATAAGAGTTCCTTTTATTACTTTTTCTTAGCTTTCAAGTCTTAACTTTTAAAATCGCTAAGTAATGAAGGCCCATCCGCTTTTTCCCCGGCCACCATTCCCGAGTCACGTCCGCTTATCCTCTCTAGCTCGGACCCGAAGTCGATGTTGCTGTTTTATGTAAAAAGGCAATAAGCAGGCAGGCAGGCATCGACTACTGACTTCTGACTTTGGCTTACTGGATGACTGGCTGGCTCTTTCGCTGACTGAGTGACTGACTGGCTGGCTACGTGAGGGCCAAGGCATGTCTAATTGAATTTGACTTATGCGCCAAATACGGTTGCCTGCTTTAAGGCGCCCCAGTCAAAAAAAAAAAAAAAAAAAAAAAAAATTGAAAAGAAAAATTGACTCCAGAGCCTTATTTGGCAAACTTTTCGATGCTAAATAAATTTTCGCGCCACTCACTCAGTGAGGCAAAGTAATCAATGATGGGCGTGGCACAAACGCACCCACACACACACACACACGCACACACACACGAACCTAGTGGCGAGTGTAGCTGGTTAATTGAATTTTAGCGCTGTGTAAAATTTTTCGTCGGCACTTTGAAGTGCAAACTGCAAACTGTTTTTCGTGCTCCTGTTGTTGTTGTATGTATGCGTGTGTGTGTGTTGTGTGTTAGAGGCAGCTGAGAGAGCGAAAGAGAATTGCAGCTTCGGCCCTGTTTGTGGGGCTGTTTATCTAATTATAGCAACATTTTTTCAACCGGCATTAGCTCAAAAGTTTCACATTAATGGCACACGAAATTCACTTTGTGGTGATTTTCAATTCCTTTTTTTCGATGGCAAGGCATGGTGCGGCACAGTTTTCTAGGCACCGCTGAAGTTTTCAGTTGATTTTCATGCGGCCGTTTGGTTAGTTGTTTGCTTTTGGGGCCTCTGTGTGAGTGTGTGTGTGTGTTAGTGTGTGTGTATGGGTGTGTTGTGGCCGCATTCGTTTGATTGCAGTGCAAAATGGACAGCACGGACAGCTGCACTTTGACTGCAAGCCAATCAAAGTTGAAAATAGGCTGATGGACACAGGCACATTTTCACGCATTTGAGAAATATTTGAAAATTGTTTTAATCTCATTTCAGTTCGCACTGTCCCCACAATAAAGTTAACACCATTACCATCGTTTCCAAAATCGATATTATATATGTGCTTAAAGAATCAATAGAAGTTGTTTGATTTTAAATCTTTTAAACACTATTATATATTTTATTTTCATATGTGTTTATTTTATGATTTGCTTCGTTAAGAATTTCGATTTTTTTTTAGCTCTTTGCATACAAATTTGTATTTTCTTTGAAAAGATATTCACAATAAAGTTTGTTGGTAAAAAATTGTTATTAGTTTTTTTAAAACACAATATTATCTGCCTGTCCGACTGCTGCTTAAGTTCCTTTTTCTAAAATATTTGTTTTTATTAAATATTTTTAAATATTCAAATATTTAAACGTAGTTCAATTAATATCATACGTAGCGGCTAAGCTCTATAACTTGAAAGTGCTTGCTGCGCCACCTAGTGTGTAAAACTAAAAACTGACAAAGTGTCAATGGCGCCAGCTAGCGGCAAAAATTACAACTACGCACTATCGCTTTTAAAAGCACAAAGAGCTTAAAGCACCAAAGAAGCAACAAGTTGAGAAAATGTTGGCAATTCTGACTCACAAAAGGAAATGGAAAAGGAAAAAAATGTTACAGAAATTAAATTAAAATGACTTTATAAAACGAACCCAAATTTCTTCATTCAGTCCCATTTCGTCGTCCCATTCATTATTGAGTTCATCGTTTAATTGGCAACAACGATAGAAAATAGTCCAATTGCCGGTAATGGAGCCGGCATCGACGCCCGCTTCTAAGAACTCTTTCGGCCAATCATTCATTTTATTGAAATTTGTTGTTAATTTGCTTAAGTTTTGTTTAAACAGCACACGCACGATACGCACAAATAGTGCAAATAATATAAAACACAACACAATGTTTGAGAAAAACACAACGAAATAATTCCAGAATTATGAAGCGCAAATAAGATGAGGGAGCGTCGTTAAAAAAAAGCACCTGCCCGCGTTGGCAACAAAAATGCAACTAATGTCAGCGCCGACTCAAGCAGCTACAGAAGCCGGCGCAAGAAAGTTGCAAGGAATTGTGATTCGCGTGTTGTATGAATTGTGTGTGAGGCAACTGTCCGCGTTTGCGTATGTGGGGGTGAGGCAGCTTGCATGCTGCAAAATGTGACTATCGAGCCTTTGACTTCGCAGTAGGAATTATTATACATATGTACATATACATGTGTATATGCATTTGTATGAATATGTATATGTATGCTATATAAACTGCGCATTGGCGAATTTTTATAGTGATAAGTAGATAGTGTAAGGATTTTAAAGTTTAATCGCCACACATTATTTTATTATATTATATACAGTACATACATAGAAATACACGTTATTTCATATTAGGATACATACATACATATGTATATGTTGCATACAATATTACCATATTTAATTCGCTAACAATTTAATGATTAATTTTGAATTTACTTTGAAAATTAACCAATAATCAAAAAATAAAACGTATACAATAATGATTATTCTTTGAGTTTTATTTTTTTGATCAAAAATAAAACTCAAGCTGAAATGTTGTCTGTTTCATAACGATTAAGGACAAAATTTATATATATCCTTAATCAGTGAGTCAAGGCGAATATTTTTAATTAACTAAATAATTAATTTATTAAATAATTATTTTTTAAATCACAAATGCGAATGTACATATGTAACAGGCAGAAGGAAGCGTGGCAGACCCCGCAAAGTATATATATTTTTGATCAGCATGACAAGACGAGTTGATATAGTCATGTCTGTCTGTCCTTTCGTCTGCCTGTCTGTTCGTTTATATAAACGAAATTGTCTCACAGAATCTAGAATAATGATTATTCTTTGAGTTTTAAGTATAAATATAATAAGTATAAAAACTTAGTCAATGTCACCTAGGTTAATGTTTGATGTTATTTATTTAATATAATATATAATACAGTAAGTACACAAAAGTATATATGTACATACATATAACAAAATAAATAATATACATTTATGTACATATTTCAGTATATTTGTTTTGCTCTAACTTATTGAGATCATTATTATATGTAGCTACATTTTCCTTTTAACCATATACATATGCACGTTTGTCAACGTCCTACTGAGTTAAATTATTCCTTAGCAACAATTTTTGCGTTTTCATTGCACGATCGAGCATTGCGTCATCTATTTCCTTTACCTCTCTCATACTCATCGCATAGTTTACTTTTCAATTTTTCTTCTTCCTTTGTTGCTCTGTTTTCACTTGACTTATCGTTGTCCCTCTTGCACTCTCTTAAACTCACACCCACACACACCTGCATACAGATCAATGTTTGGGCTTTTCTTGCCGCCGTTTCGTATCTGCAGCTGCTCGTCTCTTTTTAATGTGTTGTTGTAGTTGTTGCATATTGAGGAAGTTGTCAAACAGTATTGTTTAACCGAGCTCCCGATGGCATTGTACGATTATCTGTATGATAAAAACTGCTTATTTATTATATATACATTTACTAGCACTCCTAATTATCGTTTATATCTTTTTCTTTTACTCCGATTTTATTTAACCTGTTGCATCCTTGCACTTTTTCCCCATAAAGCACAGGTGCTTTCAAAAGCTCAGTTGGAAAAGTCGCATTTTGGCATCCTTGCCAATAGATGGCGGTATCACTAAATTTAGCAGAAAACTTATAAAACTAAAACATGTAATAAAAAGTTGTCATAGAAACTATAGGACTTACAGATTCTTTTAGTGAGCAGAGAGATATAGAATCTAAATTGAAAATTGAGGAGAGTTTCGTGATATCTGATATTATGCTATAGTTTTGTATATTGCTAGCTACAGCGAAAGCTATGATATTAAAAAAAAACATTTGAAACAAAGATCCCCATTGTAGATCTGGCAAGATTTTCAGGTATTTTGACTTTACACTAGACTAGAAAGTTTGCTTGTTTATAGAATTAAAGATGTTAGGAGAAATGCAGATGTACCATAATTATTGTAAATCATAAGATTTCGAAAAAACGAATTTTCGGCTAATTCGATCAGCCGGAATCTTCTCAGAGTTTCCATTTAGAATTAGGTTAATCCTTAAGTCTAGTTATTATTTTGGTTTCTCTTTAAATATGCGACAATCGATTGAATTATGAATAACATTTTTGGAAAACTAAGTCCCGGTCCACTCACCTGTCTCTGATGAAATTCCATGGCCGGCACGGTGCCATTTAATTCAACTGCAGACATTTATTTTGATTTTTATTGTTAATTTTTGCGCTTGAAAATCGAAAGCGTTATTCTTGCTACTTTTACTGTTGCTGGTATTGTTGTTGTTGCTGGTGCTGCTTGTTTTCAGCTAAGCACACACCCACACTATTTTTTTTGATATACTAACAAACTGCCGGATAGCGGGAGAGAGGCAATAATGCGACCACTTTATGTGGTATGTTGCTTTTTCTATATAATTTGGCAGCTGCTTTTAACAGAGTTAAAACATTCCGACAATGAAGATGACTTTGGCGCCGGTGTGCCTCGAAGTTGATCTGAGCTGAGTCCTTGGGGACTGTTGTGGCGGGCGGGAAATGCGGAGAAAATTGTGTGAGCTTGCCTTTTTTTCCGCCTAATTGAATTCGCACACAGATTTGTTGGCTTTTTGTTGCTCCCACTGTTGCTGTTGTTATTGTTGTTGTGGTTGTTAGAGTGTTACTTTTGATATTTTTGGCTGAACAGACACCAAAGACGTGTCACTAATACAAAATGTGCACAAATACTTTTATACGAGTCCATACATATGTACATGAGTACGAAGAAAAGCTAAAATGTTGTTTGTTTTTTTTTTGTGTGTCAAAATCCTAAATGCAGTGCGACAGACAAGCCAGGATAGGATTATTGGTGTTGTTGTTGTTTTTATTGTTTTTGATGCTGACTGCACAGATTTGATTTCATTTGATTTTTAGTTGTTGTTTATGAAAAGCCTTTTGTTGCTGAACTTCATTTCATGATTATGCCTGCAAAGAGGAAATGGAGAGAAAAAATAGAATTATTTTTCTGAATTCTGAGTGGGGGTTATTCCAATAGTGTCTGCAATTCAAAATATGTACGCCTTTGCAGATATGTGATGCATTATTTCTTATGTCTTGAATCGGTTTTTGCTTTGTTGTTTATACTCTTAGACTTATATTCAAGAACCCCTTTTTTAACGACATTTCTTTTTGAACCCATTCTCTGTATAGAACGCACGTTTTAATATTTTTATGATTTTTTGCATCAAAAACAATAATAATAATTAAAAATAAAATAAAATAAACATATTTATTTATTTACTTTTCAATATTATAAGAAATTTTTGAACTAATCATTCCTACGGAAACTGTTTTATATATCAGTAGTACTCCGATTTTGTTGAAACTTCAGACTATACTCACTATACTATACCGAAAGACAATAATTTCTCGATGCTCATACGGACGGACAGACGACCATTGCTAAATCTTTTTGTCTCCTTATGGGGCCTGCCACGCCTCCCCTAGGCTGTTACATACTTTTTACGCTTTTCTTGGCTTTCTAGTATACTCTTTAAGCTTTCCGGTACGATATATGAAAGGAAAATGATCATCAAGAGCTAATTGAGAAATGAAAGTATAAGGTGTAAAGTTTTTGTCGTCAATTCCTTAAAAACATTAATTAGGAGCAGAGGTAATTGTAACATTTATTTATGGATCTCTTTACTGCAGAATAAGAGGTTTCGAATAAAGGGGAGAACCCAGCTAATATATTAAATGTTATTAAATACGTAAATAAAATGATTAAGTACGAAATAAATTAATAAAACCTAAAGGATAAAGAGTAAAATGAAAATTGATTGATATTCTTCTATTTTAATATTTATATATACAAGTATACTATACTACTATTACTTATTATGTTTCAGAATCTCACAATTTTTCAGCTTAGTTACATTTTATATATTGTATGTAAAAGCCTTCACACGAATCAGAATCAGATTTATTTGACTACAATTTAATATCCTGCTTATTCTTAGGACCTGCTCCTTTTCTCTAAGTATTTGTACAACTTTCGGGGTTACCCTCGTAGCGTTATCTAGTTTATTGATGAACAATTTGTCGATGCGTTCTTGCGGATGTGAAATGACTGCTTAAAAGAAAATATAAAAGTTGTCGCACATTAAGGCGGCTGCTCAGAATAACGAAAGGAATTGAAAGCCACGTGCTTCGACTGGATTGTTGTTGTTCTTGTTATAGGCGTTGATGCTGTTGTTGTTGTTGTTGTTTTTACTGCTGATTCCATTGGTTGTGTGTCAACTAAAGTGTTTGTATTCATTCATTCATTTTGCACTTCTATGGCTGCTGCGTGCTCTGGCGCGTGAATGTTGGCAGAATACGCAAGCGAATGAGGGGAGAGGTGGCTGTGGGGATATGGGGGTGGAGATGGAGGTAGTGGGCGGTTCCTCCTATAGATATATTGGCCAATATGCCGCAAATTGGCATGTGAGTGAATTTCGATTGATTGGCTGATATTTTTTGGCTTTACGAAGAGAATTTCTGAGCGTGGCACGTGTTGTATTTGTATTGAGGTTACGGCTCGAATGAGAAAACTGGCGAATGCATTGAGGTTTTTAGGCAAATGTCCCAGTTTTTGATAATTTCGGATGCAAGCTAATGAAAGTGGTTTTCATTTGAATATTCGATACAACTCGCTTGGCCATTTCTAATGAATTAGAAACTCATTTGAATGGCAATCATACAAGGTAAATAAGTTAATTAAAAGCTGATAAGAAGAGCATTGCATTTTCTTGCCCAAATGTTGTACCAAACAAAATTTGAAAAGGACTTCCTTTTTTGAGGTCAAAAGAAACAGATGAGAAAAGGAAGCTCACAAATATTTGTTGCTTGCCAGGAAAGCATTTGCTTTTGTGGTTTGCTGACGTTAGTCAAAGTATATCTATCTACAATTGACTTATACAAGCTTCAATATCATACTTCGAGAATAATCGTACTTCAAATATTAAGTACATTTTCAAGTAGGTTAAAAATTAGCTTGGACCTAGTTCTTGGAAAACTTGTGCTGCCCAAAGGGCAAAGGGTATGAAAATAAGTGCACCATTAATTAGATTTGAAAAATTGTTGCCAAGTATATTGCAGGCTTTTAAACTCTTGACAATTCCAAAACAATGACACAATGAGCTAATATTCTAAATACTTACTCCATCTAAATGAGCTGTTTTAATATTAGAGGCCTTGGATGAACAAAGTCTCAAATATACATTTTTTACTCTTCTCTGTTCAAAAATTCCTAATTCTGAGTTTTTATTTTCTTAAAGCAGGCATTGAATATTTATTTTCTGAAAAGGGTAGCTGAAAGAAACTACGATAGTATTCGTAGAAAGCCGCTTGTCCTCATCATATTTTTAGAGAATTTTAAGTACAAAAAAGTTGCTCACAATGTACGAGTGTAGCATTGATTTTATTTCATTTATTTATTTATATTTATGTGTCGACAAATATTCACTATCGGCATTGCAAAACAATATATACAAATTTTAAAAAAACCTTAAGCCTAAGTAGGAGAAATTTAATCAAATTACAATAATATATAATAAGCATAATATATTACATACAGTTTTCTGTTAGTGCCAAAAAATCTAGCTGTTGATATTATGAAGAGAAATAGCAATATATTTAACAGTTTAATTAAATCATAAAAAAGCCCGAAAAAGAAGATATTGCACTTAAATGGAAGCTCGTTGGATTAGGAAAGAGAGCTGATATAGACATACATATGATATAGTTCTAGGTATTTAAGAGCTTCAATGATTGACTGCTTTCCTTTATTTTTTGTATTAGCTTGGATTTGAGTGGAAAATCATCGATTGGGTCTTATAAATGGCATGTTCTTTGAATTGTGAGTATAATTATAATTCATCACTTGTTGGAGAATTGTTTTGTTTGCTACTATACCACTATACTATACTTGATGTATCCTTAATGTTAATTATTGGCCTTTCTTTGCCAGCATTTTCAATTATTTATTCAGGCCATAGCATGCATTTGCATATCCTAGATCTGGCCACAATTTGTTGAGTGATAAACAGCCAAGCAGTTGGCTAGCGTGCTCTCTCATCCTTTCCCCCCTCTCTCATTCTCTCCCGCTCTCGCTTTTCGAAATCTCAAAAAACAACCTCACATAAATTTGCATAACTGAAGTTACTTGCAAATGCAGTTTGAAAACCATTGTAAGGCAGTTGTAAAAACTTGTGGCAGACAGCAATACAAACATAAAGGCGACAAAAACCATATAGGGAGGATGCCAGTCAACGGCAACAGCCTGTTGTGTGCCTTCCCTGAATGCATTTGTGTGTGTGTGTGTGTGTGTGGGAAATAACTGCGCATATTTTTGTCTTCAATGGCCATTAGAAGCGCATTTCCATTTACACTTTGAGCAAAACTTGTAACTACACATATAGACACATGCATAAATACATATTTACACACAAATACATGCATTTATGCTCATCGACAAACATAGTACATACATACATATGTACATACATATCTGGTATGACTGAGCGGCAAACTACAAATGGCCGTAATGGCTATTGAAGGCAACTGACGATTGCGCTGCTCTGATCACAGCCCAAAGCACCCCCCTCCCCCCACCCCCCACTCGGCACCCCTTCTCTGTAAGTTTTGCTTTTTCCGCTCCTTTCCTCTTCTATCGCACTTCCGGTTAACCAATGCTTGTCGCGCTGTCTCATTCATTTATGTATGTTGCAACAACAATAACAAAAAAGCTAACTACGTTACACATTGCTAACTGTTTCGTCTGTATGTATGCGCGTGTGTGTGTGTGTTTGTGTGTAGAAAATGGCAAACGGAAATTGTGCATATTTCACTTAACTTCTTGCTTAAACGTCAAATGGCAAATGGCAACTGGCAGGCAGTCAGGCAGTCAGGCAGCCAGGTAGTTACACAGGCAGGTGATGCTTGCGACATTTGTCGTCGTTATGGTCTTCAATGCACAGTGGCACGAGTTACGTACAAATGTTGAGACAAATTCAAATTAAAGGACTTTTATTTTAACGATATTTTTATTTATTAATTTATACTTTAGCTGAGGCAGTCAATTTCTTTAAACTCCTCTCTCTATTCTATTATTGCATCTATTTCCTTTTCTTTATTAACAATTACATTTCACTTTACAAGACTATGGCAGAACTGGTTTTTCTCTTTTCTCTCCTTCTTACTGTAATTGATAACAAATTCCTATTACTTTAAATTTTTTTTT